TTCAAAAATTATTTTATAATTCTTCAACAATTCAGCAATCATCTGCAAATTATGATTTAAATTATAGGATGGAATTCGTGGAAAAAGCATGAAAATGACCAATTGTCTATAAAGTTGCTTAAGAGAAATATTTTGCACCTGCCAGTGGTGAAATATATTTTATGCGTTAACCAATCAAGTTTCATATCCGAAATATGTCGTACTGGTTCAGCAAATTTATTTTTTGTTGGGCCAAAAATGAGCCTAAAATTAGCAAAGAATTTGAAGCAATTTAATTATCGTATAACTCAACAATGATAATAATAATTAATGTCATTTCAGATGATAATAGCAATCAATAAACCTTCGTTTAGCTGGCTGATTCATTGCAAACCACGAGATATTTGCGCCATTTGGAGATTCAGTAACCATATAAATGCGACGTAAATTCACATCAACATCAAATGTATGTAAATTTTCAATTTGCGGCAAGGCTTCCTTTAACGGATTTGATGCCTTTACGTCTGGCTCGATCGGTGTATCTACTATATAACTACCATCCGTAAACATTAAAAATGTCTCCGGCTCTGAAATATTCTCATTATATTAAAAGAAATCTATTGCACATTATAGAAAATATCAAAATCAGCATCAACAATACATTTGTAAATTAGACTATCTGATAAATAAAAAAATGAATAAATTTAGCATGTTTTCTTTCTAAAAGCAATATTGCCTAATAATGACGATGTCAAAAAAAATGAGTAAACACTGCTAAGTGATAAAAGGATTTTGATTGTGATACCTTCGCAAGATCTTCCTCTTAGAACGCCACGAGCACATGCACACAAAGGACTTTGACTGCCAGGTGAGGCAAAGCAAAGTTGCGTACATGGAGTTTTCCTCAAATTATCCGTTATTTGACAGGGTGACGATGCTTTCGGCTGCACGGATTCATCAAATACAACAACATTCCCCAGGTCAGCTAAACCAGCAGCAATTATCGTTGGTGACAATAACAATGATGTCTGATTCGGACGGCTAAAATACAATTTCTACACGTCTATCATGATATTTGAGCATTACTCTTCTTCGAGGTAATGTAACGATTAAGCAATTGTTATCCGAAATAAGAAAATTCTATATTATTGATTTAAACTATTTTTGAGAAGTTCATATATTTAAAGTATTTCAATTGAAATTGGCTTGAAATTAATTTTCTATTTCCGTATTGTTTTTTTTTTGGATATAACCCATAATAAAATTTCCCAATTCTCACAATTTCGAACGGATTTTGAAATGTAGCAGAACATCTCGAAAATTAATGACGAACAATTGCATTCAATTTAATCAATAAACGATCAGTTGTTTAATTAAGAGATTGGTTCATTTAAGATAAATTATTTATTTAAATAAGAAGCATGCATTATTTTCATCATTATTATTTATTTAAATAAACATTATTTATTTATTTAAATAGGAAGCATGCCTTACTTTCATCTTTTCTTGATAGCACAACTGATATAATTTTGATTCCGATAAATAACTAACTAACCTGGTTGCAGAGAAGACTTTTTCTAAGCGATTATCTGTCCAGTACATTGTTTGTCCGAGTAATGAAATGCCCGCTGCAGCGGCAATATCGCTTCGTACCAATTCAACAGGTCCACCATCAGCTCGAACACGATATATTCCTAATATTGTAGTACAAAGTAATGGCTTTTCTCTTTGAGAACGATTTATTTAATTAAACAATACACCAAAAAAAAAAATCGTTGAAAATCCAGAAGGTTTAATTTTGATTTAAGCATTAATTAATTACAATATAAGGAGTTTTATTTCTAGATAATGAAGCAAACAAAAATAAAAGAAAAGAATCTTGAACTCTGACTTACCATCAAGTTTAGCATCAGTCCAGTAGATCATATGACTATTTGGATCAACTATTAAATCTGTTGGTTCAGCAATATTTTCATGTACAACTACCTGTCGATGACTTCCATCCAGGAAAGCTCGCTAAACTTAATCATCTTTATTATTAAGAAATGTTTCCTGAATTAATTATTAAAAGACAACAATATAGTTTAATGATCACCTGAATCGAAGGTTTCTGTCCTTGATCAGCCCAGTATAAATATCTACCAACTGGATCTACAGCAAGAGAAGTTGGTGTTTCAGTTTTTGTTGAGAGTAAAATCTTACGATGTTTACCATCTAATTGACAAACTTCAATATGAGTTCGATCCGAATCAACATTGATAAAGTATAAGTTATCTGTAAAACAAACATTCACAAAGGTCAAGTTATATGTTAATATTACAATGATTCAAGTGCTATCAGTTCATTTCAGCAATTCATTACTTATTTCTACGCTAATGCTCAAACTTTCAATTTCATTTTTGGGAAGAAAATTTTTTGGTTGATCAATGAGAGACTTACAATTAACCCAATCAAGAGCGATACTTCGTACTGTAAATGAGCCAAAATTATCTCGAACAATATTCTTCACTTCGCCAATACCCAAAGTAATCTTGTAGATACCCCGATTAGGACCCGATGTTTCTGCTATGAAGAGAGATTTGCTCTCGAATTCAAAATCAACTGCAGTAATTGCCGTACCACCGATCGGTTCCATTGCTACCGATTTCTTTTGCTCCTCTTTCAATCTGATACAATTATTTTTTCTTTTAACACATCATCAACTATTTTTTTTAAATTGATTACAAATATTAAAAATATGTTTTTAACAAATATTAAAAAAATTTAATATAATAATAAAACTTACGGTATTCCAGTGATTTGTGTTTTTGTAGCAACAATTAAGAAAGATTGATCAAAAAGTTTGCAATGAGTAGTACCATCGAGAACATAACCAGTAGCACACATACAATGATGCTGTGAAAATGCTTTCGGAATGCATAAATGTTCACAATTGCCATTATCTGTCCGACATGGATGAGAATGTCCGGCTACAAAAAAAAATAATACTACCAGTTCATAATTAAATGCATTATCAATTCATAATTAATTCAAAAATGCAATCATACAGATCGTATTTTTTTTCTTTTTTTGTTGATAATATTATTTTTTAAAATAAAAATAGTGGAAAAAATCCTTTTTTGGCTATAATTTGCATTATATTATGCATAAATGTTTATTTAAAAAGATCACGATAATATCTTACCACTTCGTCCAGAAATAGCTCTAATATTAATCAGCTGATCAACATCTTTTTTAAAATGCCGAAATTGTGCTATTTGACCATCACCGGATAGGGCAGTTACTTCAATACTATCGAATGCACTATCTGCATAGAAAAGTTGATTGTTAAAGAATGCGATACCACGTGGTTGCTTTCCAACATCATTTAATATATACCGTCGATCTTGACCATCATATGTTACAAATGATATCTACAATATAAATAATATCTACAGTATAAATGATATCCACAGTACGTTATATTTAAGTACAAATGACATCTACAGTATGATATTTACAGTACAAATATCTACGGTGTAAATGACGTCTACAGTATATCTACGGTACAAATGATATCCACAGTATAAATGATATATACAGTACAAGTGATATCTATAATAAAAGTAGTTTCGTACCTTATTATGATAATCAGTTGATATTAACATATATTTATATTACTTGAATTCAATTTACATTTCATGTATTCATGAAAAAAGCATAACTTACCCGACCAGCTTTTGATTCGGAGAAATATAAGCGTTGATTGATTGTATCAAGCGCTAAATGATTTAGTTCAGTGAGATCATTTGAAACAACAACCAATGCATTCTTACCATCCAAGTCAGCTCGAGCTACCTCAAATAAATCATTATGTACAGAGTGATATAATATATAATAATATAAAATGATAAATAAAATGATTTACTTTTGGTGAAATAGCACCACCACCACGATCCAACCAGAAAAGAAGTCCACGATCAGAATCGATTGCTAAAGCAACCGGATTAACTACTGATGTCGGTGATTGATTATTGTTTAATATTGTTGCTCCATACTGCAAATATTCTCAGATCAAATTTATCAATTATTCAATTGTCATTATTTTAATCTAATACCCAAATTAATCAATTATTAATATTGAAAAAATAGAAAACGAATAACATGGAAAAGAATAAAAAGAGAAAAAAAAACATGAAAGAATAAAAATTATTTTGAATTAAAAATATTTTTACCTGCATATCTTTTGTTCGTACTACCTCAATTGTTTGCGAAATTCTATTTCCAACATACATATTTCGTCCAATCCAATCCATTGCCATCGTATATGAATCATCGGGAATTTGTGATGCAATTATCTAAATTTCATTACTTTATCTTATTGTTACTTTTAACATTTCTCATTCAATTATTTTCTCTTTTAATTATTTACCTGTGTTCGATTCATCGCAGATGATAATACTTGAACAATTCGTGATTCTGGAAGGCTATTAGGACTAATTATTCGGCCTGTTGTTGCATGTTCCAAATAAAATATCTGAAAAATTTTTTTTTTTAAAATATCTGAAAACTCTGAAAACATCTGAAAATATCTGAAATATCTGAAAAATATTTGAAAAATTGAAAATATCTAAAGAAAAAACTAAAAACCAAATAAAATATTTGAAAACTGATAAAACTTCCTAGTTTATTTGTCATCCAAAAATCAAAAATAATAGTTTTAAAAGGAGCACAGCTTATTTTGTATCATAATTATTGAAAAGAAAAATTCTCTTTCTTTAAAAGTTTATCAACTCGTTTGTAACTAAATTTGCAATACAAATGTATTACTTCAGCAGATTCCGGATCATAATCCGCATCATACGCATTGCTGAGACCAGCCAATGGTATCATTCCGCAAAGTGACGGTGTCCCATTTACTGCATCCTCCAGTGATAAGCCAAAAATGTTCGTCTTCTGGATTAACATCAAAAACGGTTTCATATCACTTATACAATTTTTACCACTTGCATCCAAAATTTTACCCCATGGACACTTGCATGTGCTTGTCTGAAAATATAGGTGGTCATTTCCTATTGTCATCACTCCGCTATCATTCGATATATACTGATCTGTGAAACATCAATGATAATTAGCTGAATAAATTAAAAAATGATGATAATAAAAAAAAGAAAATGATAAAAATGATCATTTTAAAAATTATTTCATAGATGTTATGTAAAATTTCAATAATATTTTTTAATCTTTTCTGAAAAAAAAAGGAAAGAAAACAAAACTAACCATATCTTTACTGATTAAACATAGATCAGAGCAAGAATTAGCAGCACAAGGATTTTCGAAGTGTGGTTGTAAAATAGGATGTACCGCGGTAACACCAAGAGCTTTAGAGAATGTATGTGATTGATATTCTTTTGATGTACCATTTGGATATTTTGGATAAAGTTGAAGTCGTTGCAGTCGACGATCGCTGTAGTAAATTATATCTTCAAATATTGCTAATGCATGCGGATGTTGAACAAATTTTGTCGATGATAGTACTTGTGTACGACCTAAATAATTTGTATAAATTTTAATCTGTTATATTATGCAATTTTTCCGGGAATAAAAATTTTCATTTTAAATGCAAGTTATTTAAAAATAAAATTTTAAAAAGGGCACACTGTACAGTATAGCCAAAAAGTTTTAATGAAAAAAAAAAAAGAAAACAAGAAGTGATACGTTTAAAACAAACCAGTGCCATCATAATTGACAAAATCGATATAGTCTAATTTACTATCAGCAAAATACACACGATTTGTTGTTAAATCTAAAGCAATTGTATTTGGCCAATAAATTTTTGAATTTACTAGTATACGTCTTTCAGTACCATCCATATTTGCTCGTTCAATACGTGGATTCTGTAAAATAACGCGTAAAAAAAAAGCATAATAAATTTTTGAATATCTAAAGGAAAAAAGCAATAATTAAAAGTAATCATTAAAAAAGATAATTAGTAAAATATACGTACTTGACCCCAATCAGTCCAAAACAACAGTCCTTTTCTTGGATCAACAGCAATACCTCGTGGTTGATCAACATTTTCGTGAATTAAAACCGCTCTACAAAAAAAAAGGGTGGGGAAAAAAAACGATATGATTAACATTTAAACATATACAACCATATATAGCACTTTTAAAAAAAGTGAAGGAATTTTTTTTTAATTTTAAACTGTTACAATAATAAAAGATTTAAAACAATAAGAAATAAAAATTGAATTCAATTAGAGAGAGAGAAAAGAACAAAAGTAATAAAAAAGCTTAAAACTATTCAATTA